TCTCAGAGCTTTAGTTTTCTAATTTGTGAAATGGGGTCTGTGTGTGGCTGTGGCCTCCTGGTGGCCTGTTCCTACTTCTTTCCTTATCACCGTAGTTGTCATCTCTGCTCACTTCTTTACCAGTCCTTGATCCTGTCTTTAGCCTCAGAGGCACCCTGGACCCTGCGTATCCCTAGGCAGCCCCTTGATCCCAGTCACTTGCTCCTAGATGCCCAGAACAGGGTTTCTCAGCCTCAACACTGTTGATGCGTGGGGCAGCATAATTCCTGGTTGTTGGGGGTCTGTCCTCTGTGCTGTTGGACGTTGAGCAGCATCCCTGTCCTCTAGCCACATGATGTAGTAGCACCCCCCACCAGCTGTGATAACCCAGACTGTCTCCATACACTGCCAGTGTCCCCTGCTGACTGCCACAGTTGCCCTACTTGAGATCCACTGCCTTAGGCAGCTTCATTTCTGAGGCAGAACTGGGATCCACAGTGATTTCACCACCTCTAATTTTTAGGTGTCTGCTTTGAAACTGTCCCGGCAAATACCCAGAGAGGGAGTACAGCAACCTCAAACCCTCCTGTAGCAAAGGATTTGGAACTTGGCAGAATTAGAGCTAGACAGGTCATATGTTTGGAAATCATGAAGGGTTTAATGGTCTTTGCTTGCTTTTTGTTTGCGTTTACTCCAGGGATTTCTTCTGGGTGTGAGGTGGGTTTCATTTCTTCCCCCTTTTGCTGCTATTCGGTGTTCTCTGGCCTCTTCTTTCTTCCCTTCCAGCTCCTCTTTTTATTTTCATAGGACTGGTCTCACCTAAAGATTTTGACTTCTTCTCTTGTTATTCTCTCAGCTCAATAAAAGTCCCTCAGCCGGTTTATAAGTAAAGCTGAAATCCTGGAAGAGAAAGTCCCTGTGGAGAAGGCAGATGAGGGGCCCGTGGGGCACCTGTGACGGGAAGCTCTGACGACTCTGAGCAGGGGTTGGGGGAGGGCAGGGGACCTCAGGGAAGCCTCAGGCCACAGGGCTGCGCACACGGCTTCCAGAGACAAAGCCGCGAAGCTCAGAGCCTCTTGCTGTGGAATTCAGTATATGTAGAAAGGCAGCTTGGAATATTCTACCAAAGGAAGAGGGCTTCTTGTCCTTCGGAATCTACTTAAAATGTTCACATGTTGGAACTACTCAAACGTACTCTCCGTTTTACTTGAAAGTGAAGGCATTTCCAGCTGCAGGCTGGAGTGTGTGGGAGTGTGAGTGTTTATGCGAAAGTGAAGGTGTGGAGTGTGGATGTGAGTCTGTGAGTGTGTGTGACTGAGTGTGTGAGGTGTGTGTATGTGTGTGTGACAGTGTGTGACTGTGTGTGACTGTGTGTGTGTGTACATGTGTGAGAGTGTGTGTATGAGAGTGAATATGTGTTTGCAGACGTGTGTGAGTGTGGCTGTGTATGAGTGTGTGTGAGTGTGTATGTGCGCGAGAGTGTGTGTGAGTGTGTACATGTGTGAGAGTGTGTGTATGAGAGTGAATATGTGTTTGCAGACGTGTGTGTGGGGCTGTGTATGAGTGTGTGTGAGTGTGTATGTGCGCGAGAGTGTGTGTGTGTATGAAAGTGTGTGTGTTTGCGGACACATGTGTGACTCTGTGCATGTGTGTGAGTGTGTATGAGTGTGTGAGTGTGTGTGAGTGTGTGAGTGTGTGTGAGTGTGTATGAGTGTGTGAGTGTGTGTTTGCGGACACATGTGTGACTCTGTGCATGTGTGTGAGTGTGTATGAGTGTGTGAGTGTGTGTTTGCAGACACATGTGTGACTCTGTGCATGTGTGTGAGTGTGTATGAGTGTGTGAGTGTGTGTTTGCAGACGTGTGTGTGCTGCAGCTTTTCTCATCCCTCTGCTGCCTGCAGGATTTCCTTGATGCCTCGGCTTCCATCCCATCCTCCCATCCAGATTCTCCCCTTGCCCATGGAGGGCTTGTTGCTGGGTTTGTAGACAGAATTCTGACTCCAGAACTAGAGCTTGTCAGAGGCCAGAGGAGGGCATGAGGGCTTGGGAGTGGGAGGCAGGGAGGAGGATGGAGGCAGAATGGGGCCAGTATACTGGTGAAGCCACATGGCCCCAGAACAGCCTGCTGCCCTGGAGAGTGCTCCAGAACACGCTGGGAGCCTGCCTGGGGAATGGCTCAGATAGACTCTACAGGCAGCCCCGCCAGACCCCTTGCTTCTGAAAGGGAGGAAGATGCCGAGAGTCCATTATAAAGGAAAGGGTGGAGTTAAAGAAAAAGCAGAGGATGAGGGCTGAGGAATCACTGAGCATGTGGATGCTGGTGGTGTGGTGCATCAGGCGGGGGTAGAGGAGAGGAGTGGCAGAAGTTCCTAGGTCCTTTACATTTCTGATCTTTGGGGAGAGACGTTACTTAATATGAGTGAGATTGAATATGATACAAAATAGAATAGAACACATAATAAAAGATGTGGTTCCTGTAGGTACTGTGGTCAGGAAAGCCTTCCTGGAGGTGGTGGGCTTGAGCTGAACCCACGCAGAAAAGGAGGAAGGCAGTCCAGTTGAGGATAACTGCATGAGCAAAGGGGCAGGATTGATAATTTGCATGTGTCTTTGGGGACTATAAGATCAGATTTCTTTAGTGATACTCCCTTAAAATTACTACTGAGAGAGAAAATGTGAAGAGTAACACAATTGGGCCCTGAGCTTGGGAAATGCATGGTGTGCATGATACAACAAAGCCTTACTATAAACTAGAAATGAATGAAAACATTTCAGTAAGATTTAAATGAGATTGCCAGCCTAGAGAGGGTCTCCATTGGCGTGCCGTAGAGCTCTGCTATTGGCTATTTATTGTAGAACTTATTAATGACTTGGATGAAGAAAAGGAAGACCTGCGTGTTAAGTTAGTGGATGGCTTCAAGCTGTGTGTTATCATCATTCATGAGACAATGCAATTGAGATTTAAAAAGATTTTGCAATTTTGCTGGGCTGGAAGATGTCCAAATAAGGAATGAAATTCAGTGGAGATGGATGTAAAACCCTACCCTTAAGCCCCGTATCATCCATCATCATCCAAGGACAGACAAAGAAGCAGCACAGGCACACAAATCTTGCATTTCTGTGCAGGCTCAGGGAGAATCCTCAGCAGCTTGGGCCCAGCACAGGAGAGGTCACTGCCACACATTTACCCTTGGCATGGTCTCCAGAACCATGCATTGCATCCTGGGAGCAACATTTTCTGAGATATTCTGGCAAATTGGAGTGTGTGTTGGTGAGGGTCCCCAGAAGGGCAAAGAAAAGCCTGATGCAAGGAACTCAGAGGACCTGAGACAACTGAGCTCAGAGAATACATAAAGGGAAGTGGTACAGGGCTGTATCCTAACATTTCAAGAAGTGCGATGTTGAAAAAAGCATTGGATCTACTAGGTTTGGTTCTATTAAATAGAACCAAGCCCAATAGGTACATTTGAAAGGGGGAGAGTTTGGATCAGTACAAATAAGAGCTTTTTCTTTTCTTTTCCCTCCCTCCCTCCCTCCCTCCTCCTTCCTCCGTCTTCCTCTCTCTTCTTTTTTCTTTCTTTCTTTCTTTCTTTCTTTCTTTTCTTTTTGCCTGTTCTTTTCCTTTCCTTCTTTCCTTCCTCCTCCTTCCTTCTTCCTTTCCTTCATTCCTTACTTTCTTTCTTTCTTTTCTTTCTTTCATTCTTTCCTTTCTTTCTTCCTTCTTTCTTTCTTTCTTTCTTTCTTTCTTTCTTTCTTTGTTGGGATCTTTCTCTGTTACCCAGGCTGGAGTACAGTGCTGTAATCATGGCTTATTGCAGCCTCGAAATTCCAGGTTCAAGCAATCCTCCTGGTGGAGCCTCTCAAGTACCTGGGACTATAGGTGTGCATCACCATGCCTGGCTAATTTAAAAAAAATTTTTTTAGAGATGGGGTCCCACTGTGTTGTCCAGGCTGGTCTCAAACTCCTGGCCTTAAGTGATCCTCCCACCTTGACCTCCTAAAGTGCTGAGATTACAAGCATGAGTCACCATGCCCAGCAAAGAGGATTTTTCTTTTTTCTTTTTTTTTTGAGACAGAGTCTCGCTCTGTCGCCCAGACTAAAGTGCAGTGGTGCGATCTCAGCTCACTGCAAGCTCCGCCTTTTGGGTTCACGCCATTCTCCTGCCTCAGCCTCCCGAGTAGCTGGGACTACAGGCGCCCGCCACCTCGCCCGGCTAATTTTCTGTATTTTTTAGTACAGATGGGGTTTCACCATGTTAGCCAGGATGATCTCAATCTCCAGACCTCATGATCTGCCCGTCTTGGCCTCCCAAAGTGCTGGGATTACAGGCTTGAGCCACCATGCTCAGCCCCTAAAGAGGATTTTTCTAGTAGAGCAGCCCAGAAATGACAGTCTGTCCATTGAGGGCAGGAGTGCCCAGAACAAGTTGGATATGGATGGTTTCTACATTGTGCGGATTGGGCTAAGGGTTCTCTCTGATCCCCTGCAGTTCTACGCCTCTGTAAACTCTGATGGAGAGGAAACTGAACAGGTGAGTGCTGGAGCAAAGCCAAGGCAAGGGATGTTTTCGTTTGTTTGTTAGTGCAATAAACAAACATTTGTTGTGTTCCAGGTACTGTTCTAGGTGCTGGGAGTATAGCTGTGAACCCAACAGAGATCTTCGGAAGCACATCAGCATTTGGGGGAACTAACTGCACAGGGGCATGAGGGAGCTTTTTGGAGTGATGGCAATGTTCTGTGTATTGATCAACACAGGTGTATACATTTGTCAAAACTCACTGGATCATACTTAAAATAGATACATTTTATTTTATGTAAGTTATACCTCAATAAATAGTTTCTCCCAGTGGGAGGGGAGAGACACTCATCAAGTAGACAAATACCTGAATATCTGAGTGGTGGAGGGGACATGCGTAATGAGACAGCTTTCATGGGTAAGAGGCAAGCAGCGCAGCACAGGAGGACGGAGGAAGGGAACACCGCATCAGAAATGATGTTGCCCATTCTTTGTCTCCTCCAGGAATATGAGTGCCTGGAGCAAGAAAACACCATGCTGCGGAGAGAGATCGGAAAGCTGACAGAGGAGCTGAAGCACCTGACAGAGGCACTGAAGGAGCACGAGAAGATGTGTCCGCTGCTGCTCTGCCCCCTGAACTTTGTGCCAGTGCCTCCCCGGCCAGACCCCGTGGCCGGCTGCTTGCCCCGATGAAGCTGAGGACACTCCTCTGCCCAACAAGGAGGCTTGGTCATTTTCATACCAGGGAGGAAGGGTTTCCCTTCACAATTGTATACAGGGGGCACCTGTGGCCAGGCCTCCTCCTGGGAGCTCCAGGACCAGCCAGCTGTGTCCCCTGCAGACTGGGCTCAGCACGGCATCCAACAGGCACAAGACTCACAGAGCCCTTGTGCAGATCCAGCATGGAGGCCACCCTCAGGAATGACTTCTCATCCACCCTGGCAGCTATTAGGTTCTGCTGTTATGCAGAGCCATTTCCTCTAGAATTTGGATAATAAAGATGCTTATTGTCTCTCCCTTCTCCAGTGCTTGGAATTTAGAGGCACAATACACTTCCTTTTCCTGGAGAGGTCATCTTCTGTCTTCTCCGGGTGTTCTGTGGCTCATGGGTCTTGCTTCCCTGCCTGGCTACTCTCCCACAGCCACCTCCATGGCAGACAGGGGAGGTGGCTTTAGGGGGCTGTGTTGGAGCATAAACCAATGGGACTTCCTTGCCACTTCTAGGCCTTCAGAAGTCTTTGACCCAGCTGGGTCACAAAGGTGCATGCTGAGTGTGACCCGTGTCTTTGTCATGCTCTGCACAGCCTTCCACCTTGGCCAACTCTCACACCCATGCTGGACTTGCGTGGGACATTTTCTATTCCAGGTTGGTTTTCTCAACTGCACCGTCCACTCCCAGGCCACCTTCTTGTTCTATAGTAGGTGTAGGATAGGGGAGAAACTTAGTATTAGTCTGAGTCACAACTGAGTGGAGAAATTTGTCTCTTTATTTAAACAAATATTTGGGTAGATGAGAGGAGCAGTTTCTTTTCAAAAAGCCCTGTCTGCCCGACTCGTCTTTTGGGAAGAGCAGAACCAAGCCAGGTTGAAGTTGGCCCCAGCAAGGAAAGCCAACCGGGAAGACACTTCCCATCCTCCAATTCTCTTTTTCCCTGGAAGAGAGGTGGTTCTGGAGGGTGGAGCCATTCCATCATAAAGGGAACAAGAAATGGGAACAGAAAGGAAAGTGCTTGGTTGTAAATGTAAATGGTTAAAGAAGAAAAGAAACAAGAAAGAAATAGAAGGCAGCCCCCTCCCAGGGGTGAAGGACTTGCTGACTCTGGGCTACTCCTCTCAACGCCCCCTTTTCTAGGGAGAGTTCCCCTTCCCACTGGAGGCCTGCCTGGTCTCTAACACTCACAGGCCGAAGGCTGCAAACTTGCCCTTGTCAGGCGTGTTGGAAGGCTGCTATTAGCAAACAGAACTCATGCCTGCTGGGAGTTCAGGGGCAGAAAGCATGATGCAAGATTTTAGAACAAGAGACATTAAAATAATTCATTCTGACCCCTCCACTTTGCAGAGAAGGGGCTCAGGTGCAGCAAGGGGAAGAGATTGCTCAAGGTCCCCCATGGGTGAGCAGCAGAACAAGGCTGAGACCTCAGGTGGTCTCCCACCTGATCCTCTGTGAATTGAGTCAGGTTGATGCAACAAGGAGGTAAACTGAGTGTGGCTCAGCTAGTGTCGAAATGTGGCCTGTTTTTCCTTCTGCACGGTTCAGATGAGCGCCCTGTCTGTGGTGGTGGACTTAGAGCCGGGGCCCCAGGGGTCTCTGCAGTGGTGAGTAGGAACATACGAAGTGTGTGCCTGGCACATGCAGGAGTTTTGCTGCTGCTGACTTTCAACTCCAGGAATTTGTGGCCCTGCAGGAGTCTCAGCCTGATCCTGCAGAACTTCCAAGTTCTCCAGGCTTGTGGACCCCTCTGACTGACCCGACTTCCAAAATCCAGCTGTCCTGACTGTCCACTGACCTGCTCTGACCCTTGTGGTCATTTCTGTTCTACTGTATGCTCTCCTACTCCACTGCTAACTCCAGGGTGTCCAGGCCTGCTGGCCCCATTGGCCTGCTTATCCGTAAGCCCTATCCAGCCTGACCTCAGGTAATCCCCTGGCTCCACGTCATAATCATTAGTCCCCTAGCTTCCATTTGCTATGCACCCTCAAGGCCTTGCCGTCCCCCAGCCCCTCTACTCTGGCTGGGAGGCTGGGGAGGAGAGGGTCCATGCGGGATGAGGCAAAGGACTATGTCCTGGAGGTGACGGTGCATCACTTCCCCACAGTTCAATAGCCAGAACTCGGTCACCTGGCCCCATCCAGCTACAAGGGAGGTCAGGAAATGAAATTTAGCAAAGTGCTCAGTAGGAGGAAGAACTGGGTTTGGTGAATATCTGTCAGGCTCTATCATAGGATCCAGCCTTTTCTCCCACCCCCTCACTGAAATTGCCTCCTTGGAGTTTACCAGTAAGCTCTGGTTAGTAAATCTAACGGTCGCATCTCACGTCTTATTTTCCTTTACTTCCCAACAGCCTATGACAATGGCTTTTACCTTTGTTCTTTGTTCTACCTGCTTCTTCTTAGCCACCATCTATCTCTACGCTGATAACTTTCCCATTTGTATCCAGAGCCCAGTTATCTCTCTAGGGGGCAGCCCTGTGGATCCATCCAGCTGCCTGTTAGGTGTCTCTCAGAGGATGTTTCACGGCATATCCCACTCAATGACTCAACGTGGCCCAAGATACACTCATGATCTCATCGTCTTCCCCTCAAACATGCTTCTTAATCTGTTTTTACCTATTTAATCAAGGGTCCATCACCCACCTGGCTAGAAACCTATTGATTTCTCTATGTTCCCAAGCTAATCTACCAAGTCCTGTCCATTGTGTCTCCTGAATGTCTCCCAGATCCAGCTGCTTTGCTGCAATATGTTAATTGCTTTATCTGTGATCGAGAACTTTATTCAAATTAGCCACTGAATCAGGTGTCCTCCTCCCTAGCTGCTGTGTTGAGCTTGAGGTTGAGCTTGAATTTTGGGAGGATCAAGACTGCCTCTACTTTCAATGTGAAAGCAATACATTTGGAGGAAGAGAACCAAAACTAAGGCAGCCCATGGTGCTGAGGGTCACGTCCCCTCCGAGATAACTGGAGACGGGACCAGAGTCCTGAAAAACAAATGTCCCCTGGGCTACTCCTACCTGAAAAAGTAAAACTTCTGCAGAATATAAGCATGAGAAGGTGCTGTATTCTTCCAGGAGGGACTAGGGGAGTAGACAAGCTGCTGAGGACTGGATTTGCGTGGTTCTATTTGTACTGCTGCTGGGCACCAGGCCTTGTGCTGGGCATCTGTATCTCAAGTCTCAGAGTGGCTGCCTGCTGGGTTTGGAAGGAAGGCAGCCTGAGAAAGGCCCCTTCGACATAGAAAGTGTCAGAGAGGGAGGAAGTCCTTCCTTCACACCCACACAGTCACACCACTTCCTGTCCGCAATCCCGCCCTATATTGCACCAGCCAGCCTTGAACCTTGGGGTTTCCATTCAGTAGTCAGGACCCAATTTTGACCCCAGATCTTGGTAAAGAATGATGACTCTAACAGACAGGAAAGCGAGAGTCCCAAAAGCCCCTCTCTTCTTTCCCACCAATGCTAGGGTCTCCGCCACCCGGGGGATATTTCCTGACACAGGGCTGTGGGCTTTGCCCCAGCAAGAACTAGAAAAAAAAAAAAAAAAAAAAAGGGAGGCCCCAGCTCTCAGTGAAACACATTCCCTCCTTTGAGGTCCAAGAAGTCCTGGCAGGGTCATCCGTGCTGCATGAGGGAAGCTTGTAGAAGAGAGTCAGGGAGCAAAAAGAAAGAAGCAAGAATGCAGAGGAGGAAGGGAAAGAAAGAGGGATAGAAAAAGGAAGGAGGGAATGGGGATCATTGTTCTCTGAATCTAACTCATCCCTTCTCCTGGGGAGGTTTTGCTAAATCCACAAGAGGGTGTGCTGGGGGAAGTTCCCCCACACTCCCGTAATGCTGCATAATTTCAGGTTTGAGGGTGTGGCCAACCAAGGCCCGAAAACTGCTGTGTGCTTGGAGTCATGGGAACTTTTCTGGAGTGCCCATTTGGAAATGGACCACCTTGATGAAAGTGTCCCACCTTATCTGTGTGAGAAAAAGGAGATAGGTGTGGTCAACACCACCACCATGGACATCATGGCCATTAGCGTGACCCACACCAAAAGTTTGTATTTAGCAGTGGTGGTGCGCTTGGCATGGTACGCTTGAAGGGCTTGAACCCCTAAGTCCAAGGCTATGTTCATTACAAACTGCCCCTTGAAATAGCTCACCTGCTCTCTTGGCTGTTCTAGCATCACTTTTTTCTGGTATGATATTCTTAAGAAGACCAGAAATATCATCACAGATCAGAACAAAGGCTACTAGACCAGAATTCTAACCACAGCTCTGAGGGAAAGTGCAAGGGAGAGTCCATTGTTTGCATTCTACCACACCATCCTGAAAGGCCAGAGATGGGCTCTGGAACTTCCCTGATTTCCCTTAATAACCTGCTGCTTATCTATTCCTTTCTTCGTCAAGACTCATCTGGAACTGGGTTACGTTTTCAGTTGCCTTGTGTAGGATATAAGCTTCTGCTGTGCTCTGAATTGGCCCCTGTGTTGTCTGAACTTGAGGGTGGCAGGTTGTTGGACAATGTGTAATCATTACTGTTGCCCAGAAGCCTGAGAGGAAGGACCATTTTCCAAGCATCCTCAGCTTTCACAGAGCTTCCTTAGGCTTTCCTTCATGCTAATGGCAAGACCAAAAAGTACCTTCCAGAATGTCACAAACCCAGAGAAGGCTCAATTCACCAGGCAGTACTTTCTGAAATTGAGAAAGCAAGAAAGTTTGAGAAACACCAGTGGCGGCCAGCAACCTGAGGCTGAGAGTGGAAAGAATAAATGAAAGTACCTCCCAGAAGTTATTTAATTGTTACAGCTAATTTGCAAATTACCAATAATTCCAAATTCCCATTTGGAATATGGAATCTTTATTAGTAATAAATTATTTATGCTAATCATAAATCATATCAATTATAAATATCTAAATATTAATCATTTATGCAAATTATAAATAATAATATTACTTTCAATAAACTAATTTTTATAAAAATAAATGCTAATAATATAAAATAATTAAAATACTGATTAGTTATGCATTTACAAATTATTGTTCAAACAATGAAAGGTTAAGTCCCCATTGTGTACATCGTGGGGAAACAAGACACACAAGAGAAAGACACATCCCTCACTCACATACACCTTAAAGGGCCCCCTTATCATACCGCTTCTGAAATGTCACCTCCAGACCTGTATCATTTTGATTAGAGGAAATCTAATGCTTTCCCATCTGTTCTGAACAGGGAACATGCCTACTGAGATTGTAAGCGACAGGTCAAAGAGTGTTTTCTTCATTCCTATATGCCTGGTTGCTTAGCACCATGCCTGGCACATGGTAAGCACTAAAAAAAAAAAAAATCTGGGTGACTGACTGACTGAATG